GGTGACTGAGGACGTGGTGCAGATGGCTCCGATCTCACGCAATCGGTGGTCGACTAGATCAGATCGGAATCGATTGGGTGTGATTGCCCCGATCTAACGCATATTTTTTAACGAAACAAGGTGGAATCTCAACCGCGCCTTATAGTCGAGTTGTATGTCCCTTCCAGCTCAATGTTGGCGAAACTAAACGACCGCTTGTATCGCGCAATTACAAGGTAACCCCAGTACAAGTTCGATTGTCGCGATATGTTCTGTAGCAGCCGTCAACGGGAATTGTGTGTTGGCCCCGTCCTCGCTTGGGCGGAGCCGACTTCGTGGTTGGGTGTACGAGAAGTGCAGGCGACTGGCAGCAGTGGGCGACGCCGACTTGGGCGAGCTGGTCGACGGGTTTGGTGGACCTGCACAGGGCCACTGCAATGCCGCTGAGTTGGGGAGCCGGGGGCCGACTTCAAGCAGTGGTCGACGATGGGGCTCGTCGACTTGGAAGTCGGCGCCGACTTCAGGAGGTCGCCGACTTCAGGAGGTCGCCTACTTCAGGAGGTCGCCGACTTCAGGGGACGCTGACTTGGGAAGTCGACTTGGAAGTCGGCGCCGACTTGGGGGTGCCGACTTGGGGAGTTTCCGGCCTTGGAAGTCGGCTAGAGGACGTCGACCTGGGTGGTTGACGGGCGCGTACAGCAGTTGGTCGACACTGGCCACACAAGTCGACGCCGACTTGGTGGTTGCCTGGCCGACCAGTTTACTCGAGCGTCGGGGATCTGCGGAGGTACACGATCGTCGCCCAGGTGGTTCTGGCGAAGCTGACCTCGGTGGTGGTATCCCGAGGTCGACGTGGCTGATCAGGTGCAATTGATAGCACGTGGACGACCTGGTGCTCTGCGCTGTGCGGGTGACGCGGCACAGCACGCCAATCATCTGCGTGCACCTGCGAAGCGGGAATGCTGCTGTCCTGCATGTGCAACGCTGTGCAGCCGCCTTGCTGCAGCGTTGGCACGCCGTCGACTTGCAGCGTTGGCAGGCCGCGACTTTGCACTGCTGGAGCGCGGTCGACCATGTCGTGCTGGAACGCAGTCGACATGCACGCTTGCTAGCCCTGATGTAGTCAACCTTGTCAATGTTGTTGCAATCAATCTGAACCTCATTGTTGTGAACTTTTGCTAGTGGAACTCTTGCCAAATTCCCCCGTGAACCAGCAAGTAGTGAGAGCACAAGTGAACGACTAAGGAACGAACGCTACGATCACTCCTACCCCGTGCCTACCCGGTAGACTAGCTCCCGTTGTACGAGTTATCTGCGCAGCAGCGAGCAGAAGCGAACCTCTGCGGCGGTGGTTACAACTCGCGCATAATCGCCAATATACCCAATCTATCGATCGCAATTGGTTGCAATCGATTTCATCGGATCGAGGCAATCGATCGCAATCGATCGCGATCTAGATTGCGATTGACAGATTGCCCCCGATTGCCCCAAAGTACCCCTTAGACCTTCTTAGAAATTGTGGATTGCGAGATCGAGACAATCAGCCTCAGATCGCCCCGATCTGCACCACAACCTGAGTGGGCGGCTATAGTACGTCCGAGATTTTCGGAGGCGAACTGCACCTCCAACTGCGGATTTATGGGGTTGTTTTGAAGCGACATTTTTGGAGTTTTACGCTGGAACTTACCGGTTTCACGGCGAGGAGCGCCGACATTCTCGTGAGATTTCTTGGAGTTTGGTTGAACACGCGTGACAACGACGTGGGGCAACAGCGCGGGAACTACACGGACTTGTTCAGGGGTACGAACGACTTACGACGAACTGGAGGTGGCAGCAGCAACAGTGGAAGGGGGGAGAGACAGCTGTCGGATTTTCATCCCTGCCCAGGAGTCAGCGAATCACGACAAATTTCTCGGCGAGTCTGGACAGAACCGCCGGAGGTGCACACATCATCCGACACTGAAGTAGCGTTCAACAATATTTCTGGAGTAACATTCGATCTGGTTACTGCTTCGACGACCGCCGCCAACCTCTTTGTCTAGCTAGCTTTTCCCCTATTTAGTCACATTCTCATTGGATCATCATTCTGTAATCAATCATTCTCGTTATTCGTTTTACTGCGCACTCTGCAAGTCCATTCAAAACAATTTGACACATGACAAAAGAAGAATCCACGTACGACACACAAACGACGACGTGACACGCGAATAGCGAAAAACTCGCTATTGACTCGACACACACATTTGACATCATGACTCATTATTCACAAACTATCATAAGCATGAAATATATATTATCTCATCATGCACGCACAAGGACAACACACTGAATGCAAACTATGAGGTTGCACTAACACTTCTCACAACAAGGTACCCCGTTTCCACCCCTCCCCATTTCCTCAATACCACTTCCTTGCTGGTCTCACTCCTCTTGTAACTCCTCTTCCCCCACGCCCTGCCCCGTCTAGTGTGATAGCACGTCACCCCGCAAAACCCGCCATCCCAGGCCTCATTCTTGAAGCAGCGGCAGTAGCAGCAACATCACTAGAGCCAGCAGCCATAGCATCAGTGGTAGCAGCTACAACAGCAGCAGCCACCGCAGTAACTGCCATTGTAGCCGCAACAGCAGCATCAGCCGCCACAGCAGCAGCAGCCACAGCAGCAGCAGCCACCACCACAATAGCCATAGCAGGAGCCGCACCAGCAGCAGCCACAACTACAGCGGCAGTTGTCGTTACCTGCGATCGAACTTCGCCTTCTTGGTCTTTCTCAGCCTTCGACAAACTGTCCTCCTCACTGCTCACCATTGCCTCTTCTGGAACCGTCTACGTGTTCTTTTCCTCCTCGTTCATAGCTATTTACACCTCTCGTTCCTGAACCATCTATTGATTCTTCCCCCTTTCCTCGTCGTGCCGCTTGGGATCGATCCTTGTCTCCTGTTCCTGGTTATCATTCTATGGGACTCCTCTCTCTTCCTCCGTGTGTCCCTCTCCATGCTCTCCTGTCACCTCAATCATCTCTCACTGTCTCCCCTCCTCGATTCTCTGACCTCCTCCGTGCCACTCACCCTTCTGCTCCTCCCTCATTTGCCTCTGCTCTTGTTGCTGCTGTCGCTGCCTTTGCCTCCACCTGCCACCTTGACTATGCCACTCATTTGGTCTCTACTCTTGCGCATCCTCTGTCATTCCAGGTGCTCCTTCCTTTGGCAGGGACGTCCCAGAGGGCAGACTGTTCGAGCTGGCTTTCCTTACGTCCACTTCTCCTCACTTTGTGCCATGCTACAAGCTCCTGAGGGTGATCCAAATCCTCTTAACATCCCAACCCCTCGCATCAACGCTGAGGAAGTGTCAGGACGCCGACCCTATAAGTGATATCAAAGATGGCATTTTGAAGGTCCACATGTACGTACGTCAACACAAATTTTCCCTTCAAGGCGCGCTATGTGGTGAGAGCCTTCAGTTAGCACGGGTAGACTTCTTCCAGACCTTTTCTCCCACTCCGAAGATGACCATTATTGGGGTGTTTATGCGCATCACTACACATCATGAATACAAGCTCCATTCACTAGATATTTCCCACTGCCATCCTCTAAGGCAGCCTGCATGACAACCAGTTGCACTTATTGGACACACATACGCGTCGCGTCCAGATGACGCCGAGACTCTCAGGTCTTCTGAACTCTACTTTTTTTCTGCCTTAGTTGTTGGAGATGTCTAATGGAGGTTAACCTGCTCGTTGTAGATAGCTTCGTCCAGATGTGAGGCAGAGATACCTGGTGCTATGGCTGCTTAGGAGCTCCACTGGCTGACGTTCTTGCTCAGTGACTTGGGTGAGCTGCCTTGCTCTACCCCAGTCTTGCTTGCTGGAAACAGGGCCTTGATCCTCCTGTGTAAGGAGCCTAGTCTAAAGATCAGAGCGAAGCACATCCAGCTGCGGTTCTTTCTACTTCGCGTGTTGCAACAGCACAGTCAGGCACGCATGGTTCTTCTTGGCCTCAGGGGCAGGCCAACACTACTGAGATATTCACCAAGATATAGCATCATCGGTAAAGTTTGGCCTTGCTCCAGCAGGTCATCAATTGGTAGTTTCTTGATCTCTGTATCTTGTACTGTCCGTGATTCTGCCTATATTTGAATTCATTTGCCTTGTGGTCATTTGCCTATGTTGTATCACATGCTTAGTTGTTTCTTTCAGACTGGTCTAGGTGGTGCGTCAACTTATGTATTTGCATATACTGGCAAACTAGGTTGGGATACTCTTTAGAGGGTACAATTTTGGTACATTGAATCGTGTATGCCCTCATGCAATTTATTATTCTTCTCTAAAAGTTGCTACGTCGGTATACTTCAAAAATCAAGGCGCATTTTCAGTGATCCCAGTTGCTAGAGCGATTTATTCCGAGCGTATTTACGGTTATTTTTGTTGCCAAGATCGAAATTGGGATATTGGGGGATTCTACGGGTTGAGCCGCTTGCCCGCCAGATCCTCCAACCATCCTTTGGTAGAGCGCATACTTGATGCCACCTTTGATTCGGCTTTGAGTCATAGGTGGAAATTTGTCCTTTTCGATACTAGTTTAAAAATTGGCCGTTTATCTTATACAAGACTCGACGATATCGTCGGAAAGGTTGCGTAGTTAGCTAAGTTCATAGTATTAATCATTCTGTGTATATTTGCTGCTTTTAGCAGTGATGTCGATAGGCAACCTATTAGTATAATATAGTGTCAGGTTGTTGCTCTAGTGGTTGTTTTGAAGTTGACGCACATCGTTCGATGTGTCACGTCATTACGTGTGTGTCTCACGTGACACTACCTTCCAAAAAGAAGTTGTGTGTGTCGTTTTGTTTTTAACCTAGTACCCCGGTTTCGTCTCCTTTTCAGTTCGCCCATATTTGTTTGTGTTTCGATGTATAACGCTCATGCCTTGATTTCCCGTCGCTTGTTTTCATCGAATACAATTCAGACCAAGAACCGAACCACTTCAAGAAACAACAATCTGCCAAACCAAGTTTTACTTTACGTATGCTCTCCCACTTATTTGCAACTTCCCCAATCCCTTCGTCTCCCACCCCAACTCAACAAACCCTTCCCCCTCCCACGTCGCCTCTCGTCTCTCGTTGCCTCTCCCACCCACCTCGCCATCAGCGTTCCCTCTCGCCTAGCCGTTCGCCTCTTCTTGCCATCCCGACGTCGGCTCTCCCTCTCTACGCCACCATCGCCTCTCCCTCCTGTCCTGCCGTCGCCTCTTCCTCTCACCACATGGTCGCCTCCCTCCCATCCCCTCGTCGCCTCTCCCTCGTTCGCCGTCGCCTCTCCCTCTTACCCACCGCCGCCTCTCCTTCACATCCCGCCGTCGCCTCCCCCTCACATCCCGCCGTCGCCTCCCCCTCACATCCCGCCATCGCCTCCCTCCCCCATATCCCGCCGTCGCCTCCCCCCTTGCATCCCACCGTCGCCTCCCCCTCACATCGCGCCGTCGCCTCCCCCATCCCAAAATTGTTTTCGAGGGGGTTATGGTAGCATAACATGAAGTAGGGACTCCGAACCGTTGGCCGTTGTATGTGTGATGTGGGTGCACTGAACCTAGATTGTATTCGATGTACATTGTACGAACCATGCTTGCCGAACCTAACCAAACGTAAACTGGATAACATGTACAACTTTGGTAGTGGCTAGTGTGTGTGGGGTCTGCTGCTAGAGCCAATCGAGAATGTTCTCGCCTACATTGTAGGTAGTATACCAAACCTACATTGGCCCCACCAAGCCTGTATTTTGAGGGTACCTGGTCCGGTTATTCATTATAATGTAAAAACAATACAATCACACAGTCGTTAGAAGCCTGTTTGTATAGCTCCGGAAATAGCACAAATCGAAACAAATAGATGCGAAATCGCGCCATTCGCTCCATGTCAGCAACTGGAGCGGATCTCGATCCAACCAAGTTCGAAAAAATCAATAACCATCGATAAAGAACATTGACGGTTCAGATCGAGTGTGAGCAGTTGGTTGAAAACAATGCAGTTCGTGCAAAATGGAAGAAAGATGCTGTTCCAAGTTGGATTCTAAGCCGTCGATCTGTATTTCTCTGAATGGTCGAGATTTTACATGTCCAATCTAAAAAAAAAAATTCGCTAACTTGTTGAGATTACCAAAAGGTTGGAATTTCAACCGTCGATTTTTTGCATTTTGTGCAGGTTGGATCGGTAACCGTCGATCTGAAGCGCATTGAACGGTTTCGATCAGAGGTCTGTGAGGTAAGGTTGGAATTCACGCCATCGATCTCTAAGTCAGTGAATGGTCGAGATCTCCTCTGAATTCTCTCAAACCATTTCAAGAGATAGGTGAGGTTGACAATGGTTGGATTCTCAACCGTCGATCATCAACGTTGGATGGCTACGATCGAGAGATGCAGAAGATAATGCTCTGGATAGCATGTACAGCTTTGGTAGTGGCTAGTGTGTGTGGGGTCTGCTGCTGGAGCCAATCGAGAATGTTCTCGCCTACATTGTAGGTAGTATACCAAACCTACATTGGCCCCACCAAGCCTGTACTTCGAGGGTACTTGGTCCGGTTATTCATTATAATGTAAAATCAATACAATCACACAGTCGTTAGAAGCCTGTTTTTATAGCTCCCGAAATAGCACAAATCGAAACAAATAGATGCGAAATCGCGCCATTCGCTCCATGTCAGCAACTGAAGCAGATCTCGATCCAACCAAGTCCGAAAAAATCAACAACCGTCGATAAAGAACATTGACGGTTCAGATCGTGTGTGAGCAGTTGGTTGAAAACAATGCAGTTCGTGCAAAATGGAAGAAAGATGCTGTTCCAAGTTGGATTCTAAGTCGTCGATCTGTATTTCTCTGAATGGTCGAGATTTTACATGTCCAATCTTAAAAAAAAGCGCAACTTGTTGAGATTACCAAAAGGTTGGAATTTCAACCGTCGATTTTTTGCGTTTTGTGCAGGTTGGATCAGTAACCGCCGATCTGAAGCGCATTGAACGGTTTCAATCAGAGGCAAACCATTTCAAGAGATAGGTGAGGTTGACAATGGTTGGATTCTCAACCATCGATCGTCAACGTTGGATGGCTACGATCGAGAGATGCAGAAAATAATGTTCTCTGGCTTCCTATTGGCTCATACATAGATTTCGGCTGACGCTACCACACATAACTGGGTAGTTCCAACACCCACTTTTCTCATTCCTCCATTCATTTTTTTCCAGACAGCTCTTGTTTCGTTCACTGGGCTTCAGTTTCACCTGCCAGTTTTACATTTACCTTCGCCTGCCAGACCATGCTCCTGTTCGTTTTTTCAGCTTGGGAATCTTCAGCGCTACTAATTGGTTATCAGTCGTTTGCATCTGCCTTATCACACTACTGCAGGCGATATTGGCATGGCGATTTGGGAGTAGCGACATCGGCGTGGCGATATGGGCGTGGCGATATGGGCGCGTCATTTTGGGGGTGGCGATTTGGGCGATGGCGTGAGGGTTGTGGCAGCGTTGTTACTATAGTAAGCACTGTGCTTTGTTTCTGTTGTCGGCTCTGCTAACCTGAACTTCTTATTGTCTGTTCTCCAAACTCTTCAACGGTGTATGCACATGTCGCAATTTTGCAGGCTACACATTTTCCAGTGCGGGAATATGCTATTATGTTTTTTAATCAACAATTCCATTCAGTTTTTTTATGGCTAGTGGTGGCTGAACCCTGGTACGTATTTGGCGCTGTCTACATGGTTATTGGCTCTTGTTTTGCAGGGAGGTGTTAATCGATTGCAGCTGCAAGGCGACTTAGTAGGACATTGCGTTAGCGAATCCTGTATTAGTAGGATCTGTATCGTAACGTTCTATAATAATTTTTGATTTCACACTGTTTTAACAAATGAGCCTGTATCTGGAATCGTAAATCAAATGCAATGAATCATGGCTAAATTTGCTGTATAAGCAGTATGTACTAAATACTATGTACCTACCCTATGCTTGCTGAGGGAGTGGGTTCAGAGTAAATTTAGAATGTCTACTATATAGGTACTATACATTTATCGGAGTATGTACTATGTGGTTACCCTATTGCCAGCCCGTATAGGGATTCGAAGTAAAATGTTTGTATGAGAACCTGTATGTATATTGTAGCCGAGTGCACTGTAGGTACATCAAAAATCGCATCCAGCTACGGGGTGACAACAATGTAGCTCCAACGGAGTTTTTTGGCATGCCCCTCGCATCCCGCCGTCGCCTTTCCTCTCACCGCCATTGCCTCCTCCTCTCATCTCGCCGTCGTCGCTGACGACAACTGGACGAGCGCGAGCTGGCGGGCGAGCGTGAGATGGTTTCTTAGGTGCCGTGATTATGAGGTGCGCTTACCTATCCCGGTTTTTTTCTCCTCATTTCCCCCTCTGAAATTCGCTCACTTTCTTACATCTTTTGTAGCTTCTGTTTGTCGATTGGTCTCCTTGCGTTGTACTATTTCTTAAAGAGGGAGAGAGAGGGGGGGCGAGGGAGCACCAAGAGCGTGTGGGAGGGAGAGGCGGGAGAGAGAGCGCCGTGCGCGCTTGCATCGGTGGCGTGGGCGCCATGGTCGGTTGCGCAGAAGCCGCTTGTGCTTGGGGCGCTGGCACCGTGGGCGCTTGCGCTTAGGGCGTTTGTGTGCGTGTGAGTGGCGGCAGGAGTGAGTGCGAGAGTGTGCAAGAGGATGGGTGTGGGTGTGAATCTGGTGCAAGTGCGGGTGTGAGTTCGAGAGTGAGAGGCGCGCATACACTTGAAGGTGAGCGCGGTTGTGAACGGGGTGAATGCAAACGTATTTGAGAGAGCAAGTGCGTGCGTGAATGCGCGAGTGGGTGTGAAAGCAAATGTGAGAGTGAGTGTGAGGGGGACGGCAAGTTCAAAAGTGAGTATGTGTGTGAATGCGAGGTTGAGTGCAAGCATCCCAAAAATGCCCTCTGACTGGACTTCGAAAGTACCCTGAACAGACTTACAACTTGCAATGTTTGGACTCCACACAAGGACACATTGTGTCGACAGGTTCACTTACTATGAAAACACTTGTGCTCCAAGTGTATAGTGCAAACAAAGTGTGTACATCTGACATACACTATGTCAGCACATGTGCCTACATAGGCTATACAAGGCATATAATACCAACTCTGGCACACAACCAGGTTATACTAGGATCAAAGTGTACACTATGTACTCGCGTCCGAACGAGGAATAAGGCTCATACTAACAAAATGTACCTTATTTTAGCAGTTCAAGTTTAATCTAAGAATTTTGATATCGTGGCCTTTTCATTAATAACAAAATGACATCACAAAAATATCAGGAAGCACACTATCACACGAGGAGGCTAAGAGGATCGGTCCTGGTGCACTCCCTTCACTGCAAACCACACACCGCTAGCACGTTAGTAAAAATATTGCATAGCTACCCGTCGAATGTCACTCGAGGGGACACGATTTTGAATCGTCACACCTTGTAATATGGGTATAAATACAGTGTCACCTGCAAAAGAAAAATCAGGGATGTCATGTTGCAATGATCTAAGAGCACCGTGAAAATATCAACCTGCCAACAAAACATGGGTCTCGTGATGTGCTCGCCTGTACTGACCAATCGCCTGCGAAATTTGACTTCAGATCCGTCGTCAGGGTGTTAGTAAAAGGGAGTTAGAAAAAAAAAAAAAACGTGGAACACGACCAGATTAGTACTGGCAAGAGTCCTATCTTCCTACATTCACGGGAGCTGCAAAAGGGAAAACGCACTCACGAAGATTAAAACAAAATTACGCCATCACGGGGGATGAACTAAAACGTAGTCTGGAAGGAAGACGGCGGTGAGGAAACCTACAACAACGATCAGCGGAGCAGCTGACAGGAATGAAAGACCAGAGAGAAATGAATGTTGGACGAAGGGAAGACTATTTGGCTTCATAACACAACCAAGTTAGGTGGGCAGGTGCGTGTTTGCGGAATGGTGAGCCTGAACCTGGACCAATCAGAGCACAATTGCTATTATCAACAATATCATCTTTTCATCCCAGCCCTTCATCCGAATTTCCAATCGACTGATGTGTTTCCAACCGGTCTACTCTTGCAATTTATTGCTTGACAACACATCTGAAATCTAGTCTATTCACTAGAAACTAAATTGACGGCTTAGATACCAACCACTAAATCTCTGTTCATTTGTTAACTGTTCAGATTTTTCCAATCAACAATTGAGTTTCGAAACTGCAGCACGAAGTATTCTAATTCGATGCGAGCTGGCTCATTCGATTTGGACAGTTCAAGCTTAATAATCGACGGTGTTGGTTTTTTCATGAACTGAAAATGCCTTTCGGCCACTGTTCTGGTTTGTGTGCAACATTTTAGCACCTAATTATAACTGTTTGTGTTAAATCGATTCGTTGTAAACGATCATCTGTCTGGAATGTGATTTTACGTGTGAGATCGTATCCTGCAAATGTCTGACAAAGTTCATCGGATGTCTCGCCTTGGTGGGATGAATGTAGGTCTGGA